TCCCAAGTACTAAGTAACATACCACAGCAATATAGGCACATTCATGTTTATAGTGGCATAGTTTGTAATAGCTAAATCTTTTTTTTTAATCTTTACTATGTTTCTTGGTAAAATTTAGGTAGAAAATAGTTACATTCATCATTGGGATCTTGTACCTTTACAAGACTTATCTTGGTTCTCATTTTTCTTCATTCCCCAGCCCTTCCTTCACCCCCTACACCCTTCCCTTTTTACAAAGACATTATTTCCATGTTTCTCCTTTTCAAATATTTTTTCTTTTCCCATTTCACCTTTCCCCTACCCCTCCCACTTCCTCTACTCTTTTAGACCTTTTCTTCCTATTACAAAATATCAATTATACAATTTGATCCTTATTTACACTTTTAGTTTTCCACACCAGAGAAACTATTCAGTATTTACACATGTGTGTCTTAAACTAATATGTATTGACTTATTATTGTCATGTTATTTTCCTGTTATTGGTTCTTTTTTATTTTTCTCCCTCTCCCTTTCAATTCTTGCCTATTGGATTTGTTCTGTTGGGCCTCATGAAGGTGTGACCTTAATTGCCTTTTTCTAGGATTTTAAAAAAATTGTTTGGTATGCTACTTTAGTATTCATGAACTTTCTCAGGTATTCTTTCTAATGAAAGTATCTTATTTCACATTCAATTTTTTTTTGTTTGTTTTTTGAGACAGGGTCTCACTGTGTAGTTGAGACTGACCTGGAACTCACTATGTAGCCCAGGCTGGTCTCAAACTCACAGTGATCCTCCTGCCTCAGCCTCCCAAGTACTTGGATTACAGGCTTGCGCCACCATGCCCAGCCTCACATTCAAGTTTGAAAGACAGTTTTGCAGGGTACATCAGCCTAGATTGGAGGTTGATTTGTTTTAAAGCTTGAAAGACCTCACTCTAGGCTCTCCTTGAGTTGAGGGCTTATGAGAAAAGTCTGTTGTGATTCTAATGAGCTTTCTATTACATGCAATTTGTTTCCTTTTTCTAACTACTTGTAGTATTTTGTACTTCTGTTGGGTTCCAGGATCTTGATTATTACATGTCTAGGTGTAGTTTTTGTTTGTTTGTTTGTTTGTTTGTTTTTATCATAACAAGTTGGAGTCCTATATGCCTCATTTATCTGTATGTCAAGTTCTTTTGATCTGGGAAGTTTTCTGCTATTACTTCTGTGAACAGTTTTTTAATGTTATTTGTGCTTTCTCCTGCTTTTTCTTGGACTCCTATTAATCTTATATCATTCTTCTTTGCATCAGCTTTTCAAAAAAGAGCGGTTAGCTTCTATTTTATCTAATTATATGAGCTGGGCTCCCTCAGCATGTCTCTGGCCTCAGGGATCCAGGCCATGGTGACAGTGGCTCCAGTGGCAAGCTCCCCCAGTACTTGTCCAGTGGCGGCTGAGGCAGAGGTGGTTGGGGGGGCTGGGTGGACCCTCCCTCACCAGATCCCTCTTCTGCCTGTAATAGATAAATCTTGGAAATAGCCCAAATGCCAATCAACCAATGAATGGATAAAGAAGATGTGGCTTTTTTTTTTCAATACAATGGAGTATTACTCTGTCATAAAGAAGGATGGGCTTGAGACAGTTCTAGCTAAATTAATGCACCTTCAGACCATACTCTTAAGTGAAATAAATCAGACACTACTGTTTAAACACTGCATTGTTTCTCTGGTATGAGAAACCAAAACTTGAGATAAGGACTAAAATGTATAACAGATATTGGGAAATGGGAAGGAGAAAGTGTTCAAATGGAAAGGGGAACAAAGAGGAAGGAGGGAGAAAGGATGGAAGGGACAATAAAAAAGGTGCAAATATGGGCCAGGGACTTAGCTCCATAGTTCTGCTTCCTGCCTTGAAAGCACAAGGTCCCAAGTTCGATCCCCAGTACCAAAAAAAAAGTGCAAATAAAAGGAAAGAATGGACAAACCTTTTGTATATTGGGAGGAGTGGGGGCATAAGGGGGGGTGGGATAAAATAAAATGTATTAAAATTTTAAAAATATTTATTTGCCAAAAATCTTAAATTGGTGGTTCTTAATCTTGGCTGCACATTGGAATTACCTAAGGAGTTTTAAAGTTCACACTGAGATAAAGCCCCAGGCCATTTTTATTTTGAGACAGTATCCCACGAAGCTGCCCAGTCTGGTCTCCAAGTGCTGGGATTACAGGCATGCCCCAAACCATGCACATATGACTTTGAACAGTTCTCTCTAGAACTCTATTAAAAGACATATGTGTGGGCTGGGGATTTGGCTCAGTGGTTCTGCCACCTGCCTTGCAAGTGCTAGGGCCCGAGTTTGATCCCTGGTACCAAAAAGAAAAAAGAAAAGGCATAGGTATATCTGAATATACATACCATACATAGTATGATAATGGGTTCAATTAACCAAGAACATATAACAATTCTTTATGTGTATACACCTGTAAAGAGACCTGGGGGTATGTCTCAGGGGCAGGTGGAAGCACATGCACTTAGGAGGCTGAGGTAGGAGAATTGCTGCAACTTTGAGGCCAGCCTTGGCTATATTGTGAGTTCAAGGCCAATCTGAACTACAAAGCAAGACTCCGTCTCTAACAAACAAACACTAAAAAGAGACATTGGCAAATTCAACAGTAACCAATAGAAGTAGAAAGGAAATCCGGAAGGATTTGGAAGAACTAACCTAATTAACATCCTAATTAACATTTTTGCAAGGGCAGATGGAACATTTACCAAAATTATATTATCAGCTCAAATATAAACCTCAAATATTTATGGCATATTTTCTTTTGGGACAGGATCTCACCAAGTAATTCAGGCTGGCCTTGAACTCATTATGTAGCCCAGGCTCACCTCAAACTCATGGGAATCCTCCTTCCTTGGCCTGCCAAGTGCTGGGATTACGAGCATGTGATACCATGCCTGACTCAAATATTTAAAAGAACTAAAATCTTACAAATATTTCTGAACGGGCTGGGATGTAACTCAGTGGTGCCACCCCTGCCTGGCAAAGGCAAGGTCCTGAGTTCAATCCCTGGTACCAAAAACAAACAAATATTTCTGATCACAGCAGAATCAAACTACAAAATTTATTTAAAAGTCACCCAAACATTAGAAATTTATAAATGACTCATGAGCCAAAAACAAAGTCACAGGTGAAAATATGTTATTCTGGACTGAATGGAAATGAAAACATTACGTATAAAATTGTAGGCTGCAGCTAATTTAGTACTTAGAAGGAAATGTGTAGCATTCAATGTTCATATTACAGGAAAAGATTTTTATTTTTGTACCAGGGACTAAATCCCTGGCCCAACTTCTATTTTAAGAAACTGAAAAAAAAAAGAGCAAATTAAATACAAAGTTATCTGCCAGGCATGGTAGTACACATCTGTAATCCCAGCACTCAGGAGGCTGAGGCAAGAGGATCACTGTGAGTCTAAGGCCAGCCTAAACTACACAGTTGAGACCCTGTTTCTAAATACATACATACATACATAGTTATCAAAGCAGCAAAATAATAAGATTGAAACAGCAATCTGAGGGCTGGGGATGTAGCTCAGTGGCACCAAGCCTGGCTGGCAAGAGCAAGGTCCTGAGTTTGACCCCCAGCACTGTAAAAAAAAAAATCAAAAGCTTATTTGAAAAGATGAATAGAATCAATTATTATTAAACCTGCAGAAAGATCAAGATCAAGACTCACACAAAAAAAAGAAAAAGAAAAAAAATTACTTCCCAGAACTCACTCAAAAAGAAATAGGCAATATAAACAGTCCAATATCTAGTAAGGGGCTTGGATTCAAGATTAAAAGCACTCTAATAAAATCAACTACAAGTCCAGATGGTTTTACTGGACCAAGGTTTTACAGCCATATCTAATAAAAATTTATTTTATAAAAGGTCACAAAGATTCTTCCTAATGTTTTCTTCTAGACGTTTTATACTTGTTCACTATATATGGTGGGAGATATGTGTTGAGGTTCATTTTTTACACATGGATGTCCAATTGTTCAAGTATCATTTATTAAAAACTGTCCTTTCTCCACTGAATTGCTTTTGTACACTGGTGAGAAATTGACTGATCATATATGTGTAGATCTATTTCTAGACTATTTTGTTCCATTATTTGTATCTATCCTTTCACCAATACCATACCATTTTGATCACTATAACTTTAGAGTCTTAAAGTCAATGTAATAAAGCTGTTCTTTTATGGTTCCACAAAGAATGAACTCTTATTTTCCAAAAGAGAAAATTCTGAGTTATCAGATATAACCTAAGGGAATCAGGAATCTCTGAATCTTATGAAAAACAGTGGCATTTTAGATGCCTTAATTATGGAGAAAGCTTATTATTTTGATGTGAATATTTTGCCCCCCCCAAAGTTCATAAGCTGAAGTCTTAACTCCCAAGGTGATGGTATTAGAAGGTGGGAATTTGGGAGGTAATTAGGTCATGAGCCCTCATAAGTGGGATTAGTTCTCTTACAAAAGAAGCCCCAGAAAGATCACTTTTTGTCCCTTCTACCTACCATATGAGGACACAATGAGAAATCTTCTAGGAAACACAAAGTGGCTCCTCAACAAACACTGGATTTGCTGGCATCTTTTTTTTTTTTCTTTTTCAGCTTTAATTGAGTTTATTGGTACATTTTAGGGATACAGTACAGTTACATTCATTGTTGGGATCTTGTACCTCTACATGACAGGTCTTGATTCTCATTTTTTCCCCTTACCTCTGCCCTCCCTTCACCCCTCCTCCCCTCCCCATCTACAAACACTTTATTTTCATCTTTTCATTCTCTCACATTTTTTTCTTTTCCCTTTTTACTCTTCCCCTACCCCTCCCACCTGGCATCTTGATCTTGGAATTCTCAGGTTGCAGAAATATAAGAAATAAATTTCTGTTTATAAACCACTCAGTTTATGAAATTTTGTTAAATCCACCCAGACTAAGCCACTCATTTCATATTAAGGCACTCATACTACAAAATTAGACTTCCTTACCCCAAAACACTGGATTCCCACAATTCTCCACCTTTATATCCCCAGGTACCTGGGGGCAGAATCCAGCTGTGCCACCTCATCATGGATAAAGTCCATTTCTTCATCTTTGTCATCCATTCCTAAAATAATAAGCACAGTCTAATAGTGCTTGGTAACCCTGGGGGTAGGGAACAGTCTATAAGAGGAAGAGTTCTTTAATTTGAAGGCTAAACCTTCATTTTCATGTAATATTATGAGATTACTAAAGATCAGTCTATGTTAAGAAACATAAAAATTAAAGCTAACATTTATAACTATTTACCTTCATGTTCTAAGTCCTTTGAATAAACTATAATAACCATGTGAGGTAAGTGTTAAGTACGACTGTAAGGGTAAGGTATAAGGGTCAGATCTGGTCTTTAGACCAGGCAGACTGATTCATAATGATACTTTTCTGCCTCTTAGAATATTACTGAATAAATCTAATGCAAATTAACCATTAAATGACTACCAAATGTTAATAATAATGTTGTAAATGGGATATGGTTTAGATATGTAACTTACACTGACTCCATGAATATTCTGAGATGTGTGTGTGTTTGTGTTTGTGTGTGTGATGCTGGAGATCAAACTCAGAGTCCTATGCATGAAAGGCAAGAGCTCTACCACTGAGTTACAACCCTAGTCCCTATTCTGAGATTTTATAGATTTTCAAGTTGATATTCTAAATGAATACAGACAGTAATACTGTTATAGTGGCAGTTTCTTTTTCTATACTTTGGGCTATGACTTTTAGATTTATTTATCCTTTAGTAAAGTTTTCCTGAATAAGTGAGTTTACTGATTTAAACTTAATATATTCAATTATTCTAATGTAAGACTTATACTCCACATTATAATAATAGTTACATGATAATTCTAAATTAACCATAATTAACTGCAGAATATATTGTGGATGCCACAAACGCCTGTAATCACAGCACTCAGGAAGCTAAGGCAGGATTTCCGCAAGTTTCCTGGGCTACATAGTTCAAAGCCACCCTCAACTATATCTCAAGACCCTGTCTCAAAAACAAAACAAAACAAAAAAACAAAAGAGGGTTCAATCCCCAGTACAAAAAAAAAAAGGAATATCTGTGGGAAAGTCAGTCAGTCAATAGACTACAATGGTTAGAGACATGGGATTTAGAACCAGACATACCCAGGCTCAGAACAGGGATCAACCAATTGAAGATTCTGAGAACAATGCCATGGACCTCAGTTTCCATCCTCTGTTCTCTCTCTATCTTTACCTACAAACAATCTATTTCTCCTATCTTTAAAATAAAACGTCTCAGCATGGTGACACGCCCCTATAATTCCAGTAGGTAGGAAGGCTAAGGCAGGAGGATCACAAATTCAAACAGCCTGGGCAGTTAGTGATTTAGTGACACCCTGTCTCAAAGTAAAAAAATAGAGTTGGAAATATAGCTTACTGTGAATGCCCTGGTATCAGGGCTGAGCCTCTGGGGAATCCCCAGGAGGGGTACATTTATTCCATCATGAGTAAGTTCCCCAATAAAGAAAGGTTGTGGAGCTGAGATCCATAAAAGCATCAGGACCAAGCCAGAGCTAGAGCTCAGAGCTGCTTGTGTTTATTCCTCTAGCCCTTATATTTTCGTTATCAGACATAACAAGACATACTGAGAAGCAACAGCTGTGTGTCCTCATATGAACATATGGCACATGTGTGGTTTTCTATGCTAAGTCATTCTTACATAATTGTATCCCATTATGCACATCCCTCAAGTCATGTCCTTGGCTATCTTTAGGTGCCCTCAGACTTTGAATCCATCAGCAGTGCTTCCCCACACCTGGATTTAGTCTCCAGTAGTGGAAGAAAATGCTAGAGTTGTGCCTCCGTGGTAGAGCCTAGTATGTGCAAAGTTCTGTTTTGATCCCTAGGACCAAGAAAACCCAACAAAACAAAATAGTCCTCATTGGTCTTGTCTTACTATTCCTTTCAGCTATCACTCTATTACTTTCTTTCCACTTAAAGTAAAATTCTCCAAAACAGTTGTTTATCATCTGTAGCTCCAATTTCTCTCCCTTTTTTCTTTGTAATCCATTCTTCTTGGGAGCAGTTCTACATAATTTGGGGGGGGGAATCATTTCACAATTAAAATTATGATTGGGCCTAGCTCACCTGTCTACAGGCCAGCTATGGTATTTCAAGACAACTCCATTTTGGCCTAGGATCACAGCTAAAACCTCAACAGTCTGGTGATGCTGTGATGCTCCAGGGCAAGATTACACCAGCTGAAGACATCCTGAGGAGGAAGCAAATCTTCATCTGAATAGTTCCTCATTGTCCTAGGATTTTTCCCTTGCTACTGATGCCCTTTAAGGCACCTTTTACATTTGTTACTCTCCTCATGTACTGAACTCTCTGCCCTGAATCATCTGTTATTTTTGTTTCCCCTGGTGTACTGAATAAAGGTGTGGCAAGCTGGGGGCTTTGTCTTTGCTGCCCAGAGCAGCACTGATCAGGCCCAAAGCTCAGCTTTTTCTCTAAGTCTCCTTTTTGTATCTTTTCTGTCTAATAAATTAATTCACCTTGCACTGTCATGGCTCAAAGGAGACCAGGACTTACTGCAGAGCTTCTCTTCACATTCCCGTCTTTCCACTCCATGAAACTGCAATTGATAGTCGCTAATGGCCTTCCAGTCTTCAAAGCCAGTACTCAATTCCCATGCCTTCTTGTTCTTGACTCAGAGGCAGCATTTTTTTTTTCCAGTACTGGAGTTGAATTCACTGAACCCCCATCCCTTTTTTTGGGAGACAGGGTCTTGCTAAGTCACTAAGTTACCCAGCTTAGACATGAATTTGTGATCCTCTCTCCTCAGCGTCCAAGAGAAGGATCATCACTGGACTACATAGTGAGCCCAAGTCCTCAGAGTGGCCCCCTGCCACTCCCACCCACGTTACACACTGATGTATGACTGGGTGACCTCCTGGCTCCCTTACCCCCAACCCACTGGTGTGTCAGCCCCAGGAGGAGGCCACCACCAGCACGCTGTGCTTGGGGTGTCCTCGGCCCATTTCTTCCCTATGCCCTCCTCCAAGTCCCGACTTCAGCAAGACCTGTGATCTGCTTGCCCTCCAAGTTCTCCCTTCCACATGGGACCTTGAATCAGCCCCTGGACTGAACTCGGTACTGCCAAGACCAAGCACAGTAGTCAGCAAAACTTGCCTTCCCAGTGCAAGCTGGGAGGTGCCCGATGTAGCAGACATCCCTGCTCAGTACTATGAGTGGCAAGTGATTCTTGCCTTCCCTAATTTGGCTGTACTGTTTTATATCAGGAATCAGATTGAAGTCCTGTGTGACTCAAAAGGGCATGTCAGCTAGCAGAGTTGGGCTAGTATCACTCCTTTGCTAATGGCTGTCACTGAGGCCCAAGTCCTGGCCTGTGAAGTGGCAGGGCCCTGCTGAACTACGTGCAGCTGAGGTCAGTGGGACCCCAGTTAAAATCCTTTCCCCTGAATTATAGCTTTTCACTGACCTTGTGAGTTGTTTCCTAATTGCACCTGGTCCCAGTACTGATTTCTTCCATCCTAGCAAGATATGCAGTGCCTACTCCCTAACAGCCCTGCCAGGTGGGCAGCACTAATTCACTAGATGACTTCAAAGCTCCCTAGCTCCCTATTGCTTCTCAAGATTGTATTCAATAAATGGTGCTGTGCTTGGGGGCTTTTATCTTTGTTACCTAGAGCAGCACTGGTCAAAACCCAAGACAGCTTCCCTATAAGTCTCCTTTGGTCTATTCTTTAGCTGGTGCTGTGGTGGCTCACAGGAGGCTGGGACTTACTTCAGGGGTCTCCAGTGATGTCCGCTCCCCTTGACCTTACACTCACACAGGATCCCTTCTCTGCCCAGGGCTGAACACAGTGATTAGAAAATTCTGGTCTTGTGCTGCAGGTGACAGGCCCTCGGCCAGCTGCTGGGGGCCCAGCTGTGAAGGGTGGGCATTAGTAGGCCCTTCCTCATATGTAGTCTTCTTTGAGTTGCTTAGGGATGCAGCACCCTCATTATACCTCAGGCACTGTCAAGCGGCACACACCACCCAAGCAACTGAAATGCATTTCAGTTTTGGTTTTTGGTGTTTTATTTTGTTTTAAGACAGGGTCCTACCCTATAGTTCAGGCTGCCCTTGAACTCACTATGTAGCCCAGGGTAGCCTCGAAATCACAGTGATCCTCCTGCCTCAGCCTCCAGAGTTCTTGATTTCATGGTGGTGCACACTTGTAATCCCAGCACTTTCATTTTTAATGACTGAGGGAGACTGTCTCAGATAGATAGACAGATAGATAGATAGATTTTTTTTTTAAGGAGCTGAGCCGGGGATTCAATGATTCTACCCCCCTGCCTTGCAAGCACAAGGACCTGAGTTCGATACCCAGTACAAAAAAAAAAAAAAAAAAAAATTATGAAAAAAATAAATATATTAAAGCCATCAAGGATGGCATAGGATTAGCAAAATCAAATATGAAAAAAAAAACAAATGGGCGGGGGATTTAGCTCAGTGGTTCGTCCGCCTACCTCATAACCCCAAGGTCCTGATTTCAATCCCTGGTTCCAAAAAAAAAAAAAAATTATGAAAAAAATAAATATATTAAAGCCATCAAGGATGGCATAGGATTAGCAAAATCAAATATGAAAAAAAAAACAAATGGGCGGGGGATTTAGCTCAGTGGTTCGTCCGCCTACCTCATAACCCCAAGGTCCTGATTTCAATCCCTGGTTCCAAAAAAAAAAAAAAAAAAAAAAAAAAAAAAAAGAGCTGCATATGTAGCTCAGGGGAACTTAAGTCAGCTTAGTTGGAAGGTCCTGGGTTCAGTCACCAGATTGCATAAATAATTAAATGTTAAAAATAACAAATAGGGCCAGGAATTTAGCTCAGTGGTTCTGCCGCCTACCTCATAACCTCAAGGTCCTGAGTTCAATCCCTGGTACCAAAAAAAAAAAAAAAATTATGAAAATAATAAATATATTAAAGCCATCAAGGATGGCATAGGATTAGCAACATCAAATATGAAAAAACAAACAAATGGGCTGGGGATTTAGCTCAGTGGTTCCAGCACCTGCCTTGCAAGCACAAGG